CTTCATTTTGATTTGGGATAAATGTTTGAACTATGGCTCGGGATTTCCACTGTGGCGTGCTTCTATTGTGACATAACCATTCGTATTTTTGTGGTGCGACATAGTGGAAACGTGTGAGCGTAGTTGAAGCATATACCCTATGTAATTTAAAAATCAGCTAGGAAACTAACTTCAAAGTGATCCCAAATCAAAATGAAGCATATATAAGTTGCAATACCATGTACAAAAATGGTGTTTAACATTGTTCCCTGAGTAATACCTCAATGAAAACAACAACGAAAACTTGTCACGCAAGTAGAAGGAGTACTGTTGGGCACTTTCTGAAATATTTCAATAGTATAATTCCCTTGCAAACCCAAATAAATCTATCTGCGTAAAAATAAATAAAATAAGAGTGATTTGCGGCAAAACCCGCCAGTATCGCACCCAACGTCAGTGCCTATACGTAAGCGTACTACAACGCGGCTTTCAAATAAAGGAGTAACAAGTGTGATACTATCACTTCAGGCTAGAACTTTGGTTCTCTTATGCAATGGTTCATCAGCTCAGTAATCCTCATCGCATGCTCATGACGCTATTCTGTCACGGCATGAGCCAACGATGCCGGACCTAAACCAACCGTCTCCAACGCTCCACTATGAAGCATAAGATTAGGCCCGCCCATCAACGTCCAGGTTAAAAAACTAGCCAAGGGGAGGGAAGTCAAAGCAATGAAATTCATAAGTCAGTTTAACAAACTTAAAAAAAAAAGTATTGTAAAATGGAGCAGATTGGATTTGAACCTTGAGCGTTCAGATTATTGAGTGCTTACGTCTATCAACGCTTGAGAAATTGGATAGGCGAAAGGCGTGCAAGAATCATCTAATGTACTCGATACGATTTTGAAATGTAAGCAATTCTTTTTTTTTTTTGGTATCAAGCTGGAGCTGCGTGACAGCTTAGTTTTCAAGACTTGACCCTTTTGAATAAATTTTGCTTCTATCTTTGACAATACAGCAGAAGGACTAGCCTATGTTGGCCGCTTGAACACTGGATTCCGTATGTATTGTTTCAAGATAGTTATAGAAAAAATGCTGTGACGTGCGCGCGTAGATACATCCGCGTAGTAAACCGATTGAATAAGTAAATCCGTTTCGAACGAAATATCTAAATTATGTAAGTTACGAAAAAGGTGCGAATTCCGAAAGCCGTGCGAGACAACCGAAGCGAAGCTTATTATCATTTAAAGAGTGCCACCAAAATAAATGTGATAGCCTATGTTGGCAAGTTGATTAATTTTGGTTTCCTCCCTAGATATTCTACTTATTTACTACTGAGCTCTGTATCAAATTAGTTAATTTAGAGAACGTATCAATTATTTCAAGATTTCGTGACCGCACCGAACAAATTCTATACTACATAAGCTCAAAAGCATTTGACAAGCTCTACCGAATTGCGTATCACTTCTGCGTAAGCTCCGTAGACGTAGGCGCGTTGAATCCGATAGCTGCCAAAGGTTTAACCTGCACCAAAACCGCTTAAGGAACGACCGTTTATAGTAAAACCATTTAGAGCTAAACATCTAAATTACGTAAGATACGAAAATTGCGCAAATTGTGAAGGCCACGCGAAACAACCGTAGAGAAAAAAAACAGCTTATTATCACTTAAAGAGTGCCACCAAAATAAATGTGATAGCCTATGTTGGCAAGTTGATTAATTTTGGTTTCCTCCCTAAATATTCTACTTACTTTACTGTTGAGCTTTGTTTCAATTTAGTTATTTTACCGCACGTATCAATCATTTCAAGATTTCGTGACCGGTACGAACAAATTCTATACTACAGAAGCTCAAAAAAAAAACTTTTGGTGAGCTCTATCGCATTGCGAATCACTTCTGCGTAAGCTCCGTAGACGTAGGCGCGTTGATTCCGACAGCCGCGAAAAGTTAAACATGCATCAATACCACATAAGGAAAGATCGATTTTACGTAGTGTTTAGTTCATAGATTAACATTGACTGCTGTTTACAAATGTAAGTACTTGAACACTAAGAAATAAGTTAACTCAAATGCTTTAACCGCATATATAAGAGATTTCGCGTATTGAGAGAATAATATAGTAATCGAGTACAACAAACTCAGGGGAATACAATGCCTCCAAAAGTTTAAAAGTTATTAATTGTCACAAATTTTACTTATTTCCTAAACTATTCCTCTCCTTGTTAATCTGCTTAATGCTATTGGTCTGCTTGCGTTTTCTTATTAAAGTTCAAGACTAAATAAGAAGAATTATTCTACAACTTTAAAGGTTAGTTGCCTCCCTAAGCGACATAGTGGAAGCGTGTGAGCATAGTTGGAGCATATTTAATGTTATGCTTTTATGGGCAGTACACCGGAGTTCAGGAAAACCCTAACGTTTTTCTTCGAATACTCTTCAACATCTGGGAAATTCCCGGAATTATTAAACGAAGGAAATCACGGACAGGAAGCATATTGATCTATTTTTAAATAAGATCTTTGACAAACTGCTACGAAGCTCCGTTACCCTGAACCGAAGATCCCTGAAATTTGTTGATCATCTTAGAAATTCCCGGAACATTTTCATAATTGCCTGCACTTCTTCGAGTTTTGCGTAGTTTCTTAAATTGCTACGTGATTCGCTAAACTCCTACAAAGTTCGCTGCACTTCTACCTTGCTTGTTGATTTTCCACAAAGCTTCCAGAACTTGCACGAAATTTCGTGAAACATTCAAAGTCTGTTAAACTTCAACGAAGTTTCCTGAACTACTGTAAAGTTTTACGATGTTCCCTGAAGTTACTGAACTTCTACAAAGTGAGCTTTTACAAAATTTGCCGCACATCTAAAAAAATTCCTGCAGTTTCTGAATTACTCCCAAATTTCCTGAAGCTCTACGAAGCAATCATGTGTGGTAAAATTTGGCCCATTTTGAATTTTGAAATTTTTTTTCTAAATGGCCATCAGGATTCATAATGGTATGGGATATGATAACGGTATGTTATAACAAACCTCTAGAACAAAGGAGCTGGGATCTCCTGCTTAATAAGGAAAAACGGCCACCACTAGGCCACCGAGCTCTGTATTATAAATACATATGAAACCATTATAGTCGAGTACTCGATCAAGATGTTGATATTATCGACCACTTTCAGCTGTGGCAAATATATTCTATTAACAATATGATCCACTTTTTCGCTTAGCTGGCGAACCGAATTTTTAGCGATGAAAGCGCCTGTGTGGCCAAACAGGCTACCAATGTATTTGTTTATCGTCACGAGGGGTAAACCAAATGAAAATTTGTTTAATATTTCAAATGAATGTATTTCCGCATTTTATTTTATTTGATGACAACAGTGACATGTCAGATAAATTTTAAAGTAATATACACAATGTAACTAATGAAAATAATTTGACTCTTTCTTTTGTAATAAGTGCTATATTCGCACCCCTTGATTGTAATTGAATGATTGTTGCTGACCTTTTTCAACGCTAGATGGTGCGTGAAGTAATATTTTACGGGTCGCCATTGCAGCATTTCTAAAAGGCATGAATGGATCATATTGTTAATAATGATATATTTGGCTGTGGTTTCAACGACAGTGAATGTCAGCTTCATTATGATCTGACTTTCACAACGGAGAAAACGTATTTTGTCAGGTTTTAATAGATAATATAACAGCTTGTCAACCCGTAGTTGCCGACAATAGTCACACTCATCTGATAAGTTTGCATCGTTGTAGAAATGTGTTCAAACATTGTTTGACCATTCTATCGATTAGAATGGATGGAGCAGCAAGCAGCAAATAAATACACACACACACACACACACACACACACACACACACACACACACACACACACACACACACACACACACACACACACACACACACACACACACACGTCATATGAATAGAAGCGGGGACACTGGTTAGATTGACGAGAATACGTGAATTCCCCTATTCAATTATGTTAGCTGCATCCACCGAAGAACACAAGGATCGTCATTCTCTCGAAGAGGCTACACAACATCATGTTCTTAGGAAATTCACAACTCGTTGGCTACATCATCGTGTGATTCGCCTTCTGCTGTTTTCCTCTCAAAGCCGATCATAGAAACTTATTGAATTTTTTTACATCCGCCACTCTTGCCCAATGCTTTTCACCGACTGGAAAAACCACCAACCGAAACAAATCGGACCATCGTTCCCGTATCGGTGCGCAACACATCGCCAATATGTCATAAATCGTGTCTGCTCCGTCCTATACCCGCGCCCTAGTCTCCTTCCCCAAACGGGGTTGAAGTAGATTCCAAAAAATAAAACCAACTTTCTGCGTGTGACTGTGATTTAAAAATAAAATCCATCATACGACCGTCAAACGCATGAATGAAAATGTGCGTCTCCTATAGCAGCAGTGAGTGACAGTGGCAGGCAGACAGGCAGCCCTTTCACTCGAGCAGCAACTCTCTCGCCGAAGGACAGTCAATTCTCAAGGGGTCTGGGCTACGGCGATGGTCACCTCCAATATCGACTTGTAGAGAGTTGACTGTACTCCCGTTCCTGCTGCTGTGAGCACGTTTCCTTTTTTGATTTACCTAAGGCCGCTGCCAGGGTAGACGCGACACGCGACGCGACGCGATGCGACTCACGCAAGAAATAATAATAAATAATAAGATTCTTTTGAATTGGTCGCGTCGCGTCGCGAATCGCGTCTACTCTGGCCGTGGCCTAATCCTCCCATCCGTGCTGTGTTGACGGGTGCCGTTGCACCTGTGGCACTGCAATTTGCGATGGCAAGCAGCTCACGGGTATTATGGTGCGTTGTTAGTTGCAACCATAATGATGTTTTTCTCATCCTCATTTAGGCACACTTGCTTGCTTGCTGCTCCTATAATGGTTTGTCGTCAAGCTGTCCATCCAGAGACTCTCTAGAGTTACCAACCTACTTGTCAAAGTACTCATATTCGTTTCGTCTGATTTTTTGTTTTCTTTTCTCCGCAGATGTCGCCAGTTCTACATACAGCGACACCCATGGGTGCCGGCGTACCAGGCCGTCATCACGTTTTTCGTCATCGCCAACTTTACGATGGCCACCTTCATGGATCCCGGCGTCATACCGAAAGGTGAGTTTTTCGAAAGTAATTAAAAGTTACCGGAATTACGGCGTCACTGAAAGTTTTTTTGCTTGTTTCGTTTATCGTGCTTGGCGGATAGGGTTGACCAGTACCACCGGTGGTACAGATGGTTGTGGCTATCAAGTCAAAAGTTAAAAATCTCTTAAGGGTAGCTGCAAAGATTGGCATTGCAATGAAAGTCATTATCTACACGGCGAATGAGAACGACCCAAATTTGAGTTTAGTTCACTCATAATCGCCAAAAGTGCAGGAACTCAGCAATGAGTAAATTTGGCTTATGTTTTCCCAGGATTTTCCGGGGGAAAATTCCCGAATTTGAGAAAAGTAAAGATTGGATTCACTCAGTCTATTGGTACTACTCCGAGGCTGAATAAAATTTTCGTCAATTTCGTCATTTTCCGGCAGATTTTTTAGGTTTTCCACAGGAAACCATTAGACAAATTTTACTCATCGCTGAGTTCCTGCACTTTTGGCGATTATGAATGAACTAAACTCAAATTTGGGTCGTTCTCATTCGCCGTGTAGAATTTGCAGTGAAAGTGTTGCACGGTCGTTGAATCTGACTCGTGTTTGAATAAAAAATTTCCTCGATTTACCAGGAAAAACTTTTCGGATACGAGGAACATCTAGAGAGGGTTCACTCAGTTTATTTGTATGAGATCGACTCAAAATGGAATGCTTTTAGACTCAAAATCGTAAAACCGTAGGTCACTCATAAACTGAGTAAAATTTCCCTCGATTTTTCTCAAAACTCTGCTCGAATATAAGGAAAATCGACGAAAATTTTACTCAGTCCTGGAGTATACTAATAGACGGAGTGAAACCTCTCTCGATTTTCCTCATACTCGAACCGTTTTTCCTGGGAAATCAAGAAAAAAATATTAAGTGATCAAAACTCAAATTTTAGGTGGTGGATCACCGGCCGTGTGAGTAAAATGTTCATCGATTTTCCTCATTTTCCAGCAGATTTTTGAGAAAAAGCGAGGAAAATTTTACTCGGTCAATGATGGAGTTTTTTTTTAGAATAATTGGCATGACCAGCTTGAAGTCTTGAACAATATCCAGTGGACTTAATTGAAATCTTCGATCAGCTGGAGATCTTTAGAATACCTACGCACAGTCGGGCAGTGAACCCAGTAGCGTGCCCAGAACCTCTAGCGCCGTGGGTAAGCATTCTTCAAAGTTGCTCAGTTTATTAAGGGCCAACTTTTGGTGATTTCTGATTACTTCATATTCCTGCGAATCTATGTTTTAAACAGAAGGTCCTAGAAGGATGTTTTTTTCGGCCTAGTTGTCTTTCCTTTATTTAACGTCGGTCTCTGTTCCGCAATCTAGTGCCAATCACCGACGGACATCGATTGCCATCCATTGACGGCAATCGAATGTGCAGGAAGGCAGCTTTCCACACCTGCGTATGATATCGCACCCATTCAACACACATGGGCCGGGACCAACGGCTTTACTTCCCTTCCGAAGGAAGACGTGACCAGAGATTTTTATGCCTCAGAAAAATCCCACCGACCTCGGCTGGGATTGAACCCAGACCCATCGGGGTGTTAGAAAGCAGTCACGCTTACCACTACACCACCGGCGCCGGCTTCGGCCTAGTTGTGCATTTTATAATTCTGAAAAATGTCCAAGACATCAAAGACCTGGGACTTACCTAAAGTGAGGCATCGGCCTGCTTAAAAAATACTTATCGTAAAAATGGCGTTTTTGTCATTTTTACAACATATAGGCCAACATTAAAAGTCTCTTGTCATTGTCAAAATAATGGAACCTCAAATGTTTTTAAAAGTATCATAATTTTTTTTGAAAATATTTAGAAATTTGTTTCAAAATAGTGGAGTGTAAAAATGTTGATAATTCAAATTAGCGCAAATTGGCGCTAGATTTTTGTATGGGAATGGAATGGAATAGGAATGGAATGTGAGTAGAATGGAATGGAATGGAATGTGAATGGAATATAATGGGAATGTAATAAAATATAATAAGAATGGAATGGAATGGAATAGGAATGGAATGGGAATAATAATGGGAATGGAATAGGAATGGAATGCGAATGGAATGGAATGGGAATATAATGGGAATGGAATAGAAATGGAATGTGAATAGAATGAAATGGAATGTGAATGGAATATAATGAGAATGTAATGGGAATAGAATAGGAATTGAATGGGAATATAATGCGAATGGAATAGTAATGTAATGGGAATGGAATGGGAATAGAATGTGAATGGAATGGAATGGGAATATAATGGGAATGGAATAGGAATGGAGTAGGAATATAATGGGAATGGAATGGGAATGGGAATGGAATAGAAATGTAATGTGAATAGAATGGAATGGAATAAGAATTTAATGGGAATAGAAATGGAATGGAATAGAAATATAATGGGAATGGAATGGAAATGGGAATAGAATATAGATGTAATGTGAATAGAATGGAATGAAATAAGAATTTAATGGGAATAGAAATGGAATGGAATAGAAATATAATGGGAATGGAATGGAAATGGGAATAGAATATAAATGTAATGTGAATAGAATGGAATGGAATAAGAATTTAATGGGAATAGAAATGGAATGGAATGGGAATGGAATAGGAATGGAATAGGAATGTAAATATGAATTGAATGGAATGCGCATACAATCAGAATGGAATGGGAATATAATGGAAATGGAATAGGAATGGAATGTGAATGGAATAGAAATGTAATGTGAATAGAATGGAATGGGAATGGAATGGAATGAGAACGGAATATAATGAGAATGTAATGGGAATATAATAGGAATGGAATGGAATTGAGAATGGAATAGGAATTGAATGGGAATAGGAATGGAATGGAATAGGAATATAATGGAAATGGAATGGTAATATAATGGGAATGGAATAGAAATAGAATGGGAATGGAATATAATGATAATGTAATGGGAATAGAATAGGAATTGAATGGGAATATAATGCGAATGGAATAGGAATGTAACGGGAATGGAATGGGAATGGAATGGGAATAGAATGTGAATGGAATGGAATGGGAATATAATGGGAATGGAATAGGAATGGAATAGGAATATAATGGGAAGGGAATGGGAATAGGAATATAATGGGAATGGGAATAGAATAGAAATGTAATGTGAATAGAATGGAATGGAATAAGAATTTAATGGGAATAGAAATGGAATGGAATAGAAATATAATGGGAATGGAATGGAAATGGGAATAGAATATAAATGTAATGTGAATAGAATGGAATGGAATGGGAATGGAATAGGAATGGAATGGGAATGGAATAGGAATGGAATGGGAATGGAATAGGAATGTAAATATGAATGGAATGGAATGCGCATATAATCAGAATGGAATGGGAATATAATGGAAATGGAATAGGAATGGAATGTGAATGGAATAGAAATGTAATGTGAATAGAATGGAATGGGAATGGAATGGAATGAGAACGGAATATAATGAGAATGTAATGGGAATGTAATGGGAATATAATAGGAATGGAATGGAATCGAGAATGGAATAGGAATTGAATGGGAATAGGAATGGAATGGAATAGGAATATAATGGAAATGGAATGGGAATATAAAGGGAATGGAATAGAAATGGAATGGGAATGGAATATAATGAGAATGTAATGGGAATAGAATAGGAATTGAATGGAAATGTAATGGGAATGGAATGTGAATGGAATATAATGGAAATGTGAATGGAATAGGAATGGAATGTGAATGGAATAGGAATATAATGCGAATGGGAATGGAATGATAATGGAATGGGAATGGAATGAGAATGGGAATGGAATAGAAATGGAATGTGAATATAATGGAATGGGAATGGAATGGAATGTGAATGGAATATAATGAGCATGTAATGGGAATAGAAATAGAATGACATGGGAATGGAATGTGGATGGAATGCAATGGGAATATAATGGGAATGGAATAGGAATGGAGTGTGAATATAATGGGAATGGAATAGGAATACAATGGGAACGGAATGTGAATGGAATAGGAATGGAGTGTGAATATAATGGGAATGGAATAGGAATATAATGGGAATGGAATTGTAATGGAATGGAAATTGGAATGGAATGGGAATTGGAATGGAATGGGAATTGGAATGGAAATGGAATGGGAATGGAAATGTAATGGAAATGGAATGGAAATGGAATGGAAATGGAATGGAAATGGAATGGAAATGGAATGGAAATGGAATGGAAATGGAATGGAAATGGAATGGAAATGGAATGGAAATGGAATGGAAATGGAATGGAAATGGAATGGAAATGGAATGGAAATGGAAATGGAATGGAAATATAATGGGACTGGAATTGTAATGGAATGGAAATGGAATGGAAATGGAATGGAAATGGAATGGGAATGGAATGGGAATGGAAATGAAAATGGAATGGAAATGGAATGGAGATGGAATGGAAATAGAATGGAAATGGAACGGAAATGGAATGGAAAAGGAATGGAATGTGAATGGAATGGAATGGAATGTGAATGGAATGGAAATTGGAATGGAATGGGAATTGGAATGGAATGGGAATTGGAATGGAAATGGAATGGAAATGGAAATGGAATGGAAATGGAATGGAAATGGAATGGAAATGGAATGGAAATGGAATGGAAATGGAATGGAAATGGAATGGAAATGGAAATGGAATGGAAATATAATGGGACTGGAATTGTAATGGAATGGAAATGGAATGGAAATGGAATGGAAATGGAATGGAAATGGAATGGAAATGGAATGGAAATGGAATGGAAATGGAATGGAAATGGAATGGAAATGGAATGGAAATGGAATGGAAATGGAATGGAAATGGAATGGAAATGGAATGGAAATGGAATGGAAATGGAATGGAAATGGAATGGAAATGGAATGGAAATGGAATGGGAATGGAATGGGAATGGAAATGGAATGGAGATGGAATGGAAATAGAATGGAAATGGAACGGAAATGGAATGGAAATAGAATGGAAAAGGAATGGAATGGAATGTGAATGGAATGGAATGGAATGTGAATGGAATGGAAAAGGAATGGAATGAAATGTGAATGGAATGGAATGGGAATGGAATAAAATGGGAAAAGAACGGGAATAAAATCGAAATGGAACGAAAATGGGAATCCAATGGACGTGAGTTCCAAGCTCCTTCGCGTTATATAATCGTTAGGACATCAATTCAGCTTATCGTTTATCAAAACGAATCCTGCTGCAATCCCAACCCTCTTACCCAATATCCTAGTGATTCCTTGTGGAAGTGCAGAGGTGTTCTCACTTCCATCAAAGCGAGTGTCACGTCAACACATTCCTGACCCATCCATTTCTTGACCTGCGTTCGGTGCTGGTGCTGGTATTGCCTAGTTTGAGATCACCAGTTTTTACACATTGAAGATGATTGCTAGTCGCAAGCATCGTCTATTGGTTCTCTGTGTAATTACAGCTGATCTGGCAATAACAGAGTAGCAACCGTGGGTAGCAACATGCTCATGCTACCGGAAAAATCAACTCGTATGTACCGGAAAAAAAAACAGTGGAAAACTCGGGAATTTGAAAAAGGCTAACGGGTGGCAACTCTGAATTATAAAACAAATGAACCGTTGAATCGGGAAAACCGGGGGAAAACGGGAATTCGAAGTCGCCGGGAATAACCTTTCAATTTCGACAACAAATCGGAAAAAATATACTTCCTCCTCTGTTTGAAAAAAAAAAAATAAATAAATAAATGTTGGACCTTAAAAAAATGTCAAGGTCTTTGGATTGGACTAGATTTCCAGGATACAGCAGAATTATTAGGAGAATTTATTTTAATAACGCCATCGACTGGAAATGCTTTCGCAACGTGGGGCTTTAGGTAGTGATGAAACGTCGCTAGAACTATTCCACAGCCACAGTCAGTAATGAGCAAAAAGCGGACGCACATCTTTTGCCTGTAGACTTGAAGACATACTTCAAGTCACCGCGTGCATCGTACGGGTTAGGCAAAAGATGGCCCTTCGCTCATTTTCAACTTCTATTCAATTTTCATACTGCCGTACTCTAACGGAACTATCCTCCTACCTTCTTCTAAAGATCATTCTCTAGCTAATAAATTAACACACTAAATCTTCATGTTGGCATTTCCAACCAACTCAGAATTTTAGATAATTTTTTTTAAGAACCATTGAGGAGATTATAGAATAAAGCCCTGCTAATTTAGAATCGGTACGCTTCTTTCTGTCCAGTACAGCGCTCCTAGTGGTCGGTTCGGTATCTTTTGACATGGTCGGGTACGAGTATCGCAAAGGAGTTGAAAATGGCCAAAACCGCCGTCTGTGCAGTGCTGAAACGTTTCTCAGTATGTTCAAACTTTCCTATAAACAATTAAATTGACTGCAAAGTCGCTAAACCGTAAATCAAAAAAAAAAGTTTCAAGGAACGTTTGTCTGTTTCCCGGAAGGTGCAATCAAGTCGTCGAAGCGGTACCGGTAGTAGACTGGAAACTGCGTCAAAACGTAATGAACGCTTTCAAAGTGAATCCACGAATCTCCTTTGTCACGTCCATGTATATACCACGAACACATGTATACATGACGAGGCCAAACTCCGCACGGAATTTCTACCAGATAACACACTTCACTCTCCCATACTTCCACAGCACCAACGTTAGATCATCATTTGGCACCTCACCGGTGGTAAATCGTAAACTCGCGCATATTTAACGCAGTGGCGTTGCCCTAACCTTAATAGGACGCGACTCTACTGACAGAACGTGCTGTCATCCCCGCAAGCGACATTCGTACCTACACTGCCTTTACATAAGCATAAGGGAAATTAATTGCTCGGGGTTATGCAGTAGCGTCGCGTCCACATGTGCAACCTGTGCACGACACAGGTGTAAATAGCTGTACTTCTTTACTCCAGACCACAAGTGGTCATGAATACACTATTTTATAGTGTGGCTCAATTAAATCTTCGACCTTGGTTTGCTTCAAAAAGGATTAAATTCAGTTCGGATGGTCTGCCTAATACCTAATGCATTGATTTCTAAGCATGTCGATATCACTACCATGACAAAACTCGTTAAATAGTGCACCTAAAAGCGAGCTTTTTTGGGTGGCGGTTGGCAAGTTTGTGAATGGTGAAATGTCTGATGTAAGCCAAGCAAACCTTCTATCACCTCTTGAAACATACCACAAATTTCCCACACTTTCAGCAGTAACGCGTCAAACGGGAGCAACACGGAAACAGCAGTCTGGTACGCTTTAGACGTGTGAAGGGCCATATTGAAAATTTTACAAAGTCCAAAACGGTCGAATTTTAGCAAACATTTGAATCATTGCACATAACAAACCGTTGCACGAAAAAGATCCGTTTCGCGATTTGACGTGGAACTGCTCGGTTTTCGTACATACTACAGAACGATACATTAGAATCGGTTGCCTATCGGTTGAATATCTGTCAATGTAATTTTGTATTTCCTTAGTTGATCAACCTTTTTTTTCATGGATTCATTCACCACCTGCGTCATTTGGTAGAACATCATGCGGCGACACTACTGTGTACTAAGTTATTTACCAAAGCTGTTAGTAGTTTAAAAATGGGACTCACTCGTGACGAACAATTCGAAGAACGGTTTGCTATCGTGTCGGCTTCCTTTTTAAGACGTAGACATCACTTTTACCTGTGGTGTTAATTTTCAAGCCATAGACATTCTAATTGCCCTATCATACCAGCTGCGATGGAGCCCAAAATTTGATTAGGCGCACCTCACCCACAAAAAGCAGGTGCAGCAGGGCGACACCAATAATGGTCACCCCACGGGCGTCACAGTCGCCCGTCGTGTGCCCAGCGCGGAAAAGTGGTGAAAAATAATGTCGCGACGTGCCCTGGTTTGATAATTCATTCATTAATTACCTGTAGAGAGGAGTAATTATATTCTCATTTGCATCTCGTTTGCTGCGTGCTGCATATCGAGAAGGTAATTCCGAATTGCTGAGAGCAGTGAAATCAGCAAATCAGCATTGATCACGATTAACCTTGTGTCCGTCTGTAAGTTGAAAATTAGATTGTAATGCTTTGTTTGTTTGTTTGCTTTGCAGCCCCACCTGACGAAGATCGCGAGGACGAGTTCCGAGCCCCGCTGTACAAGAATGCCGAGATCAACGGCATCACGGTGCGGATGAAATGGTGCGTGACGTGTAAGTTCTACCGACCGCCACGGTGTTCGCACTGTTCCGTCTGCAATCACTGCATCGAGGTAAGACACTTTACAACAAATAAACTTCTGGATAATCTCAACTTCCTCTCGTCAAAAACAGACCTTCGATCACCACTGCCCGTGGGTGAACAACTGCATCGGCCGGCGGAACTACCGGTTCTTCTTCTTCTTCTTGATCTCGCTGTCGATCCACATGCTGAGCATCTTTTCGCTCTCGCTGATCTACGTCCTCCAGAAGGAGAAGGACAAACTGACGGAGGTGGAACCCATCGTGGCGTAAGTTCTTCCCTCGTGCAGTTTCAAATGCAATCACCCGGAATTTTCCTAATTTTTAGCATGGTCCTGATGGCGATCGTCACCCTGCTGGCGATTCCGATCTTCGGCCTCACCGGATTCCACATGGTGCTGGTGTCGCGAGGGCGAACCACCAACGAGCAGGTGACGGGCAAGTTCAAGGGTGGCTACAATCCGTTTTCGCGCGGCTGTTGGAACAACTGCTGCTACACCCAGTGCGGTCCACAGTATCCGAGGTAAGTGGGACCTACATGCTTAGCTACAGGGATCCTGTCTGCTCACTTTGTGTCGATGCTGCCATTAGGATTGATCTCCAAAGCTGAAGCTATTTGCTATCACTGCCCTTACTCTTCCTTGGACTTCGTTTGATACAAATTTTACTCAGTTTCGTAAAAAGTGGAGGTACTCATAGCACTGAGTAACTCCACTTTTTACGAAACTGAGTAAAATGTATATGGGTAAAAAAGAGAATGAGTCAACTTGGCTCAGTCCCTGAGTTACTTTCGACGGGCGTATAATGTGTTTTCAACAAGTTTTCTAATCAGTGAAAAGCGTTCTGAAACACATCTAATCGTAGCGATGAAGAGTAGGAATTCTACTGTTTAACTGAATGCTGAATCAGAAATTAGAAGTGCTAATTATTGCACTCAAAATGCCAAATTTCAAAAAATCTCAAAAATTTCGTTTTCGAGTTTTTTTTTTATTCAAAGGGGGGATGTTTCTCAGAGTCTTAAACTATGTTAATCATTGATCGAGTTTTCACTTGCTGCAATTACGGCCTCCACACGCTTCCGGAATGCACGGCAGGTTCTAACAATGTAGTCTGGATCCATTTCTCTCCAGGTACGGGTCAATGTTGATCTGAGGCTTGCTGTACTCGGGTGGCGTTTAGAACAGGCCTTGGCCTTCATGACGCGCCAAATTGAGTAATCCATCGGATTAAGATCGGGGCTGGATGGCGGCCACATATTCTTCGACCATAACGGAAGATGTTCCTGCAACCACTTCTGAGAGCGTTTCGAGGTGTGGCACGGAACCCCATCTTGTTGAAATACAACATTTGGCTTCAGACCGTACTGTTCTTTGATCCACGGAAGAACATACTTACTTAAAATCCCGATGTAGACCTCCGTGTTGACCTTGTCGCCTTCTGGAATGAACACCGGGTCCATTGTATTGCCATCGGAAGCCACCAATCCAAACACCATAACGCTAACAGGATGCTTGGTCAGATACACGTTCTTGTGCTCGTCGGCCACGTCTTTTACCGGAAGAGAACTAATATACCGGTCGGTTCTGGAATTTGATACGGGATCGACGTTAAACATGCTCTTGTCGGTGAACAGAATTACCGGATTTTTTCGCTTAAGGAAGTTCAAGGTTTTCTTGCATCGTTCGACTCGTAGCTCCCGGATGCGGTTGGTAATCATGTGAGTTTTTTTTTTCGTGCCCGTGCCCTCGACTTCGAATCTTCCTTTTGATAGCAGCGATAACCCTCGGAACCCGAGCTGACCTCGGACGACCTGTGGCCACTTTCGCGGATAGTTGTCCTTTCTTTTCTCGGTCTAAACCCTTTTGACGGTCCACCGGGACACTCTCACGGCGATTGAAATGTCTTTTTGCGACATTTGCGCGTGGGACAAATCACGAATACGCTGCCACTTCGTCATGGTGCAACTGTCAAACTAAGTAAATCATTTTGTTTTATACACAGCCTACTACGGTATGAGCTATAGGTTACGTGCATGCAAAGAAAACCAAGGCATTGTATGCACAGGTGAAACTGGAACCTTATTTGTACGATGGTGCAAACATTATCACGCATACGGTACAATCCTTCATAGTACCTGCAGGGTTGTTACAGCTGCTACGTTTGGTGCTGATTGGAAGCTTTTAAATGAAAATTAAACCATTGTTATCATTGTATTTTTCAACTATCAATTCACTTCTTATTCTTAGTGGTTAACTATTAAAAAATTGTTGTTCAACAAATAGAATCTTGCTTAAAAACACTACTACGTCTATGAGTGAGCGAATGGCTTCACAATTGTGGTGTACTTGGCTGCGGTCGAACAATAAAGGTCGAAGACGAACAAATCCGGACAAATTGAAAACGCTGCCTTTAAGGCATTTTTGAGTAATTTTCAAAATTTCACTGAATCAAGGCTAAGAGTGTATAGAATCACACTTGGAGTCTATGTGCCTCACACATTGTAATATCAACAGCTTTCACATGATAGTTCAATGCTCTACTTTATCGATTTCTACTTTACCGACTCCAAAATTGAATCGACAAATATATAAGCAAAGCTGCCAGAGGGCAGAGCTTACTTCTTTTCATTTATTTAACGTCGGTCTCTGTTCCGCAATCTAGTGCCAATCACCGACGGACATCGATTGCCGACAATCGAATGTGCAGAAAGGCAGCTTCCACACCTGCGTAGGATATCGCACCCATTCAAACATACATGGGCCGGGACCAACTGCTTTACTTAGAGGGCAGAGCTTACACATGCCTTTTTTAACGGGTCTGATTTAGAAATTGATCCTGGACTGTTGGGGTGTGCTGCTGCCGTTGTCTTCATTCGATCCCACTGGGCCACTGTTATTCTCATATATGATGCTGGTTGATAAGTATGAAGTCGATGTTTACCTTGCAGAACAAGAAAATTCACATCGCATTGAAATGCAAAACACTTCAAATCCATCTGTTTTGAACAGTAGTGTGATTGAATGTGCAATACACTTAAATTGCCAGAGAAAGATTATCAACATTTAAAAGTTGGCAACACTAGAAATCAACGTGTAGAACACATTACAGGGTGGCCAGCAAACCGGGATTATCGGGAAATATCCGGGAATTCGACGAGAGAACCGGGGAAAACCATATCATAGGAACAAATGTTACTCCAGAAATTCAAAATAAACCATTGAAACAGAGTGATCGTTTACCAAATGAATGTTTTACTCTATTTGCTGCACAATTTTCTTTTATTCAATAATTTTTATAATTTATTCACTCAGCAATATTGCAATTTGATTTTTGTCGTTGCAAATTCAGATGTAATGTGCTTGGTCCTTGAAAGAAAATATTGAAGATGCTTGACTTTGGAAATAAATATTTGTTAAGACCGAAACTGAATTTTTCTTTTCCGGGGTTTTAATTTTTCGTCGTTAAAAATTCTCCTGATATGAATTCTGCTCTAAATTATCATGGAATTCTTCAGAAATTAAACAGAAAACACTCCGCGTAATAATTACCGTTGAATTCTTTTTGGAATTTCTTTGAAACCCCTTCTAAGAATTCAATTGGATTCCTTCTTAGAATTCCTTTGAACCTATTCGAGACTTAAATTCGGTTGAAAATCTTTTCAAAAATTTATTTCAACTCTATTCAAAACAGCAGAAATCTTTCGAAATTTTATTTAGATACCGTTTGGAGTATTTCAAGTATTTTTTTTCTAATTTTCAGCAAATTATTGCCAGAACACTCTTCTTTCGGAATTCTTCTTGAAATTCATCTGTCATTTTCCTCACGATCCCCATACAAATCTCCTCAGAATCACGTAGGAATTTTCCTTAAAGTTTTGTTTTTTACAACTCCTTTTGAAATCTTCTAAAATTACATTTAATTTAATTTAGAACTTGCATTCTTCTCCACAGAAACCCCTCCAAATTCATCTAACAATTTCTAAGGACTTCATGTCAGAAAATTCTGGAAATCTGCTCTGGACTTCTCCTTCGAAAACTGTATGGGAATCTTTCTCTATATTTGTTTGAAGTCAACACTTTGAATTCTTTTAAATTTTACTAAAAATTCCAGCGTTTGTCCGCAAGATTCTATAGATTGTTCTGTAAATTGTTATAACCCTTAAAATGCTTCCAATTCTCAGAGCGTGACAATTATGACTCCACGAGTCATGTGTGATCTTGCACATTTTTCAAAATCTCACATTTTAATTATTTTTTTTTTCAATTCTTGCATCACAAAGATTGCTATTAATCACAAATTTTGTAGAAAAGTTTATTCTTAAATCACTTTTTTTTTATCCTTACAGTAAATTCCTTTCAGCACATTTTTTTTAAATACGTTCATTTTCGTTTTTTGTTGAATATTAACAACCGGAAAAATTTTAAGACTTGAACCGGGAAAACCGGAAAAAATCGGGAATTTCAAAATGAAAATTCACTAACCACCCTGACATTAAACCATGGTGAAGTACACTTAAAATAAATTTGATTGTGCATCTGAAATATCAAGTGTTTAAACACTTCGATCAGACGTGTGGACTTTTTTGAGTGTATCAAGAGTGCGCCAACTTTTGCTCAGTGTGCCGGCAGTGCCAAGAGTGTCATTAGACTGAATGTTTGTATAACGGTATGTTGGGCAACTCGGTTAATTTGACAGTTCACATGTTTTATTTTGAAGAACCAAAACAACAAGCATTGGAATCCTATCCCAGATCCTAACTGTCGTGACTCTCGGTTCGTTGCTCAAAAAATTCTCTCGGAAAAGGACTACACTGAACCTAATAAGCAACGGCCTCGGCCACCGAATCGAAGCATCGAGCGAGAACGTTCTCCGGGGAGGCACTTCCAATTTCCGTCAGGACAATAACTTCTACTGGATTGGAGTATGATGTGGACTCGAATGAACCACAGGTGACGGTGGTAAGTAAACGAAGCGAGCGTGCATCATCAGAGGAAACTGGTCCAGATGCTCTTCAGATTCTGATGAACGTTTCCGGGAGGAGTTGCTCCCGAAAGCCATCGACTCAGTCACAGATGCGTCGCCAGCGTTCTAGTGGGAGTTCCAACCGGAATCAGACTTCCCTGGTGGAGGTGGGGTTTAATATGTCTACACGGTTAGACAGTCCAACGATCGGACAAATGGAGAGAAGTATAATGTCTCTGGCTAAAAGCAGTGCCGGCCAGAGAACACCTGTAAAAGCTATCATGTCGATGATAGGAAAGCAAACGCCGGTGAAGATTCTACCTCCGAACATGGTCCGAGTGATCATCGATGTCAGTTACGATGAGGAACGAATCATGGAACTGAATGTCGGTTGGCTGATCAAAAGCGTTACGGAATCAAACATGATAAACGAACACTGATAAAACTACTACGGCCAGATGGAGGTCTTTGTATGGACACCGGTCCCCTTACGACCTTCTGGGTCTCGGATTTCATAATCTATTCGTACCTCATAAAGTTCGAAAAGCTGCGTTCGAACTT